TACGAATGATGAGCACATTTGAATCAAAACAATAAACAAGTAATTTATTAAATAAAAACAAAAGTGTCCTTCAAATAGACAAACATATTCTGAGGTCTATTACCATAAGTAAAATCGGAACTCAATTAACTTCATTAGAATAATTTAAAATACAACACAACTGAAGCATAATTGAGAATTAAATCACAAATTTCTATACAATTTTTCAAATATCACATTCAAATTTAAGCATATTTTGAAATTATTTAAATTTTTAATAATAGAATATTAGACCTACAGAATTATGCTAAAATAAACAACATTGTGTCTTAAAATAGGTATTAGCGTATAATTAATTAAATTCTGAATCACCACAAAAGTTAATTAATTGCAAAATTTAAATGAAATTATATGCTTTGTGTAACTTGATTGCCTTCAAACTACTGAATATCAAATCAAATTCATTTTAGTATCCATCAAGTGATTTATGACCAAAAATATTTTACTACGATATGACATCTATATAAAGATCATCTCTTGCTATCATTCAAATCACATCATAATTTGAATATCAGTTCTTTGGGTTTATATCTAAGGATATATTCTTTTCAAATGTTAAACATGATTCAAGTAAGGACTATAAATAAATAATTATTTTATTTTATGATTTATGTGGACAATTAATTGAAAAATAATTACTAATTAAGTTTATTATTATTTATAAACTTTATTAATTATTAATAATTTTTGTTTCAAATTTTATAAGGCATTTATTAATATTAAATTATGTTGTAATTTTTTCCTTCTAATTACTTAAGATATAATATATCCTGTTCAAATTTTTTAATTTTTTAAAGGCACTGATAATCACCTTAGCAGCTATAATAGCTGTTAGTAATGGACAATGGAGTGGACCCAGAAATCAATGGGGAGGACCTAAACCTAATCCATACGGTGGTGGTTATGGAGCTGTTGGAGCACAAGGAGGTTATGGAGGAGCAGGAATTTATGGTACACAAGGAGCCTATGGCAGGCCTTCAGCTTATGGTGGATCTGGAGCTTATGGAGGAGCACTGGGTGCAGGACTCGCAGCAGGACTTGCAGGACAGCCAATTGAGCCTATTGGCTATCCAGGGCAAGGAGGTTATGGAGGGCAGAGTATCGGAGCAATAGGCTATCCAGGACAAGGAAGTTACGGAGGTGGAGGTGGAGCTCGCTTTGCCCCTCCAGTTGCAGGAGTGCAGCCCGGATATGGATACGCTTACGGCAATGAGGGATATAAACCATTCCGGTTTGGATACAATACAGTCGATGAATACGGAACACAAATGGGGAGACAAGAAGTAGCCGACGGCAGCGGCACAGTCCGCGGCTCCTACTCTTATAGGGATCCTTATGGCCAATACAGACAAGTACAGTATGTGGCTGACCAGGGTGGATTCAGAGCTGTGGTCAACACCAATGAGGCCGGTGTAGTGCCGCATCAGCCCGCAGATGCTATCTATAACGTACAGTAAATGTTATTTTCTAGCAAAACAAATGCTATTTTTAAAATTATTTTATTTCACGTTAGTCTTGAGTTTTGAGCATTTTGTAAAGTTATACAAAATTGTAAAGTAATTATTGTTATTTTATAACTTGTATAGTAAAAATAAAAATGTTAGTTTTTACAAAATTTTGTAATTTTCATATTATTATCGCATTTGTATGGTTTATGAGATATAATGAAATAAAATAATGGCTAAAATAAGACCATTTAAAATATAATGAAAAATTGGGTGAATTTAAGAAAATAAAAATTTAAAATAAAAGAATTATATTCATGTAATGATTATAATTTCAATCATTGAATTGTTATAATAACAAACAAATAGTGAATATAAAAATCTTAAGACCAAATCTCATGCCTTTGCCTTTCTTTTGGTTTTAATGTATGGTTTAAACTGTGTTTTAGTTTTGCAAAACAATATCTAATGTTATATAAGGGATGACGTATTCATTCAATTCTCTCCTAAACTTCACGAACTTATGATTGAAGTAAATGATTGCCTAAACGGTTGGGGAAAGGGATGAGAGAAAAGGAGAATTGAAAACGAAAGCTGTTGTTTGAAAATTGCATTTCAAGTTCATATAAATATTGAGTGCTTTTCGCTTAGTCTCTCATTTCATTGTTCAGATTCAAGTCAAGTCTCAATACTTTTTGCCGTTTAATCAAAATTTGCAAATTTTTTATTTTACCAAAATGTTCAACTTTAAGGTAAATTTAATTTTATATTATAAGTATTTTTAATTAAATATCAGTGGTGAATAAAATTAATAAACGTATAAGCTGAGTTTTATGTTTGTTTTATGCTATTAAGGATTATTTCATATAAAATTATTTAAATTTTATTTTTAATTCTTGGATACTCCTGATGGCTATCAATGAAAAGTTTAAAATTTAAATTCTTTCACTTTGAATTATTATTTTGTTAACTTAATTATAGATTATATCTGTAAATATTATGTCATTTCTAGTTACTAAAGAAGTAAAGTTTTACAAATTTTTTTGAAAATTCATATAATTAATTAAAATCTACTTTTTCATTAAATAATTTATTTTTTTTTATAAATTTTTAATTTTCTATTTACTATAATTGATTTTAATGATTAAATATGAAATATATTCAGGTTTTAATCATTGTTTTAAATAGCTTTTTAGTTTTATGTAACTAAAGAATTATCAATATTTTCATTGAACGGACAGTTAATACTAATAATTGTGACTTTGGTTGTGATAATCAATGCCCGAGACTATGAGTCTCCGAGTCGTAGAGCTCGAGCCCGTCGAGTGAACTCTCGTCAGTCCCCAGTGGCCGCCGCCTCATATCGAGCACCGGTAGTGTCTTCATACTCATCGGCCGGTCCAAGAAGAGGGTCGGCATATGCGAGACCTGTGCGACAGACCCAGCAGTTTGAAGAGGCAGACCATCCGGCGCCCGAACCCTACAGTTTCACGTACGACACCACCGATGAGTTCGGGACTACACTGACCCGCACGGAGACGGGAGACGCCAACGGAGTTGTCACCGGAAGCTACCAATACAGAGACGCCAATGGACTCGTCCGCACCGTCGAGTACGGCGATGACGGCTCCGGGTTTAGGGCTGTTGTCAATACGAACGAACCGGGTAACATTTATATACCTATTTACCTATAAGTATCTAAACTAATAATTATCTATAATTTTCGTTAGGAGTTGTCTCCCACAGGGCCGCCGACGCCGAGTATATTAAGACGTAAATTGTTTTATAAAAATCATAAGACATTAACATTTAAACCACTTTTATATCAATTATAATTAATTAGTCTTTTAAGTGAAAAGTGTTTCCATATTTCATGTCATTTACGACATATTAATATTTTTTATATTTAGTACTTTATTGTATTCATTATAATTATGTTTATTATATCAATTAATTGTTTATTTATATTTTTATTGTTTAGATTTGTTTTATATACCACAAATTGCTTATGAATTTACTATTTACTTTATTATTTTTTTATGATTATTATTTTAATTATTATATCATTAAAGTGTATAACATTTTAAATATTGTTAATCTTTTGTATCAAAATATGTTTTCATTTATTATGATTTTTATTAACTCTTTGTTTCGCTCAGACTTAATGAATGAAAAAATTAAAAATTTAGTAAATTATATGATAATTGTGCATTTAATTGATTATAAGTTTGTGTTCGTTTCAAAACTTTCATTTAATTCATTTGAATGCAAAACAGATATCATTTGAATTTCAAAAAGAAATGATAGGGTTTTCACAAATTCAATGATTTAAAGACCATTATATTCAACATAAATGGGTTATCGTTTAATTGAGGTTAAAGTTTAAAAAAATAATTATATATTACCAGTACTGTAATAGTGTGACTTCACAGTAAAATGACTAAAATATCCAAAACCTTACAAAATATTATGTATTTATTATAGAAAAGAGGGATTTAATGTTTTAAAAAATTTTTAATAAATAAAATTGTAATTTATAATATGAGAAGACAATATATTAATTTTATCTATGATATAATTCCATAAAAATTAAATTCACATATTGCCACTAAATTATTGTTTCACTTAGTTTTTGCTCAAACTGTACAGCAAATAAGCACTTTGATTATTTTTATTTATAATTAATCAAACTACACTGTAATGCTAGAATAGTATAACATTAAAACTATCATATTTATTCGACATCCTAAATACAATTAAAATATATCTAATGGATTAGTGTGAGATCTTAATCCGTTCAATAAAACTTTATGGATCTGAGATTTTAATTGAAACTTTAAAAAATCCTATTTAATAAAAATTTAAGCAAATCGTATACTGTATAAATATAGGCAGAGAATTGTGGTTATATTGATATTATGGTGATGATAACACTCTAAATATTCAAAACACATAATTTTTGTCTGAATCTCAGCCTTGATTCAAAGATTTCTTTGTGTTTATCATTTATTTTAATTGTAAGGAATTTCCAAAAGTTTAGTCAATTATAAAACAACAAAACTTATACAGTATTAGTAGTTAATCGATAGTAAAGTACAGACTTAAGGGCGAATCCATTTAAACTATAATTAATCCTTTAAAAGCAAACTAAAATTTGTACACTATTAAAATACTGTGTATAAGAATTCAATTGATTTTCAAACACAATAAATAATATGTTGTTTAGTTTGCGTTCAATTAGCTACACATGTCTTCAAACAAAATGAGAGAATTGCTTAACAAATGTATAATAAATATAAAAATTTTAGACCAAAACTATAAGACAAAGAAAAGTAAATTTTTAATGTATTATGTTTCATCTTCATAATCATAAAAAACATAGATTTTAAAAATTAATAACACTATAATAATAGGTAATGAAAACGAGTTTTGGTTGTTTATACAAATGTTTGGCTTGTTGAATAAAGTTAGCTACCAATTTAAAGTCATGTGAATATTGTAATTTAATTATATCTTATCTATTGTTCTTTGTTTAAGTAAAATATGATATTTTTATATTAGAATATGAAAATATAAGATAAATATAGAGATTTTTATTTATTTGAATAAATACATTTTTATAATATATTGAGACAGTATATAAAGACAATACATTAATAGGATTAAAATTTATTAAAATTAAATATTTTTCTCAGGATAACATATGTAGAATTATTTCGTTTTGGTTTATAACAAATAATAAAAATATTTTTCATATGAAATTAAATTAAATTTATTATAAAATGTTTTTCTTTTAAGTCTATGGGTTATTGGTTTATGAGTAATAATTAGCATCAGTAAATTTGCTCAAACTAAAATTTGCACTCAAATCAAAATTTATTCTGCACATTAATTAATTTTAAACCATGTTGACTTATAAAGAATATTATGGACAATATTTAAATTGAACATGAATTATCATGAACACTTTATTCTATGTAATAAATACAATCGTTTCACACAATCACATCAAGGATTTTAGTTTTGAGAATATGTCCAACTTGAACACGCTTTTCAAAATCCATTTTCTAATCTATCATTTATATTAATTCTCAATTATATAAATTCTGTTTCTTTAGTAAAAAACTATTATCCTTGAAATAAATGGAAAATTATAAAATCATCAAAACCTATAACAACTCTAATTT